GGCACCGTTTCGCTGTAACTCAGCTTTTTATGATATAGTTACCATAGCTTATTCAACATTTGTTATTTCATGGTTTCCTTTAATTATTTACATTACACCAAATCTGGTAAAGGAATGTTCCTTATAATCGAGGTAGCAGTCGCTATATATGGAGTGGAGATTCACTCAAACATTTTTTACAACAGGAGAAAACTCACTACGACGTTCCATGGTACACTACCGTTCGAAATGCTATCCATAATCGAGTCCTGTAGGCCCAGCGCCAGAAGTATAAATATAATATGACAGCAGGGGCGGTGGACCGCAATGGAGAAAAAGGAAAAAACGTCAAAAACATCAAAAGATAAACCTCATTGCTTCATGCCATGGGGTCTTACCAGGGAAGGATTCCATCTACCCATGGAACGTTTAGTGACCTGGGTAAATCAATACAACTAAGAATTTTGCATTAATTTTGCGTTGGTTCTGTATGATATCTGTTTTAGGCGTTTTGAAATGTGTACGCAGATCAAAAAGGACGCGTCGGCTTATCTTAATGTGTTAGAGTGTTAGAGCTTCTTGAATCTTTACTCCCACTTTTTGCCAACTCAGGTGCCACAGCTCCCCCACTACCTTCAATTCATGCTTTTCAAAGCAGGACGCTTGAAGCCAAGTTTCGATTCAAAAGTGGCTTCATAATCTTTGTTCTGATTAAATGTTCTCCACACAGGAACTAGAGCATTGTTGTTCAAGCACATTCTGGCGCTGGCAACAGCGACTTTTGTGTAGTCTCCGAAAAAAGCAACTTTCAACAGTTGCGAAAGTGGGAGTACGAGGTTCTACGATGAAAGGAGTCCCGTTTCTCGGGTTCTAGGCCGTTTCAAATGGTTTCTTCCTTCATTCCTGTCCACTGACCACCTCTATCCTTATTTCCAATGAGCCAACTTTTCATCGCGAATTGCGCCTTCAAGCTTAGGAACTCTATGCTCTTGAGGTGCATATGCGTTCAACCAGCTATCGCTTGCTTGAGCCTTGCGAGTTAAATTAAAGTTAAATTTTGAACTGATTTATTCAATGGGAAGAAAAATTACTCACACCAGCTGCAATGTAGCCGGCCGATGTACCACCGAGATGTCGATTGGCGAAGCCAAATGACAACCATACACATATCACGCTTAGTATTGCAAAAATAAACGAGTAGACGAGTTCCTGAAATCCTCTCATATTTTGAGGGAACCCAGTGCGACCATTTTTGAGTTTCTCGAAAAGTGAAGCTTCGACAGGTAAAAGGGTCAACTATTTAAAGACATACAAAAAGAGCTTAATCCTACAAGTAGACCACTAATAGCCACTTAGGGTTTCCTTTTAGGTAACTGGTTTCCTATTCATGTTGTGGGATCAGAGTTCATTGCTTTGTCAGTTGGCCGCAGATGTGTTTGGCAGAGGAACTGGGCATAACAGACGCTAACAAACTGTTGGTAAGCCTTCATATCCATCCGGTCATGTTGTCCTGATTGTGCGCTGCTGGATTCCTGGCTCTCCTCTTCTTGAAATCAACTACTTAACATTTTTTGATCGTTAATTGCTGTTTTTGACCGCAGTTCTTTACGAAATTCTTCCCAGGATACTGGGTTACGAACAACCCTGGTGAGATTCGAACCCGCAACTTTCGTTTACCGGGTAAGCGCGCTATAAATTACGCTACCGGAGTACCGTTTCGTCCTAGCCCAGCTTTTTATGATATAGTTACCATAGCTTATTCAACATTTGTTATTTCATGGTTTCCTTTAATTATTACGTTACACCAAATCTGGTAAAAGAATGTTCCTTATCGAGGTAGCAGTCGCTATATATGGAGTGGTGATTCACTCAAACATTTTTTACAACAGGAGAAAACTCACTACAACGTTCCATGGTACACTACCGTTCGAAATGCTGTCCATAATCGAGTCCTGTAGGCCCAGCGCCAGAAGTACGGTAGCAGCTATTGAGATCTAAAAAAGTGCGACCACGTTCCTCATTCCGCAGGTTGTATAGTTGTAGGAATAACTTCGTGGCCAGGAGCAAACAGTCTCGAGCCCCCAAAAATTTTTGAGCTTTTAAACGATTTCGAAAGATTGAAAGGGGCTCACCAACATAGAAGTGATTATGACAAACCACAAAACGCCGTTTTCCGATCCAGCCGTTGAGCCAACACAGATTGCAAGAATGATGGCGTTCAGCTGTAATGTTTCTGGATAACGTTCTTTTTCAATATTTTGATTTTCGTGTATTTTCAAGCATTCTTAAGAAACTTGGGATTCTATTCACGAATTTCATTCAAATTCATTTAGATTCAAAATTTGGATCGCTGCGCTGTCGCCATGGTCAAAAAGGTCCCATTCTCGAGAGCCGTCATCATCAAGCCGTTCGCTTTCGATTTGGAACACATCAACTTTAGTTCGAGACCTTTAGGTCTGATATGGGCGTTCGAGACTTTCAGGTTTGGCAAATGGGTGGCCAATAGTGCGGTCGGCGGCGTGGAGTATGCATTGAGGCATAATATGTACGTATCACATTCAACGCAAATTCTCCATCTCTTCTGCCTCCCCGTGGTGAAATAGATTTCCTACGTCATTTATTCCGATTTCCGTCATTTTCACAATGACAGTTTCCTACTACTCGTCCTTTCAAAAAGGACAGGCGAGAAAAATTGAAAATTCAAGCATTTCTTCTAATGAGAAGGGGCAATTAGCTTCGATTGCCATCTTCCTACGCTAAGAGCCTCATCTCGCGCAACGCGAACATATTTTCATGCCATCAAAAATGACATATTAGGATATCATTTTACAGGTACACAAGTTCTTATGGAAGGGGAAGCGCTTACCACTTGGAGGGGCTTGAAAATGTGTGGCATCTTGAGGAACACGTTGTCGGAGTGTTCAATTTGATCCCGGAGATTTACGAAAGACATCGTGGACTTCTGTAAGCATGTTCATCAGGCAAAATTTTAGTGGTAACGGCAGAAATCACAATGATGACGAGCGAATCGATATAGGTGTTTATGAATCAACACCAGGCCTTTCGCCATGCACAGGTGCATTTCTAATCATCATTTAATGCGAAACTTTGGGCTGCAGAAGGTCTGTAAAGGCGCTGAGAGACTGGGATAGCTTGAGACATTCTAAAACGCTTCGACCCGTCAGCGATCTGCAGCGAGGTTCCGCTGCCTACTGAGTTTTCAAGTTTGAAAATTGGTAAACATCCGGAAGGAAATAAATTCCCGCCGTTTTTGGGCCTTGTTTGTCTTTTCTCATTTCAGATAGGAAAGAGTGTGTGTGGCTTTTTGGAAGTGCATTAATTTCTTCAAAAAATTCACCAGCAGTTTAATGACTTAATCTTAATCAACTTCCTGGAATCTGAACTACAGTGTTCAGACTGCGCGTAAGTAGATTTTCACTGGCCCTGGCTTCATTCCGCATTTCTATACAGTAAAAACAAACACTGGTTGTAATTGAGTCGTTCGAGGAAAGAACCCCGCAGTAAGTCTGATTGGTTTAGCCTGATAAGATGCCGCCATGCAGAATTAAGTGCGAAGATTAGAAGCAGTGCAGTGCAGTCACTGTTTTTCATTGGTTTGATCTGAAACCGTCCCGTTCCTTATCGAATTTGGTGCAATGCGCAACGAAGGATGTGCGATCCATTCAAGAATCAACCTCCAGCAGTCCTTCAAGACCCAACGCTTTTCCTCCGAGCGTCAAATTGTTTTGTCAAAATATTAAACGCAACATCCTAAAGAGCAGGTGTTAGAAGGAAGGCATCTAGACACCTGCAGCTTTTATGCAAATGCTTTGAATTTGAGCGAAACCGAGTCGTTCCAAAAAAGTTATAGTCTTTAGGTGTAATAGAAACAAACACAATACATAACTGTAATTTTTTAAAATTACATAATTGCGGGAACATATTTTCCAATCTTATAAAAGCCTAATAATTAAAGTCAGCCTGACTGATTTTTTCTTCTGCTGGTACCAGCTAACCCCTTCACAGTGAAGCAAAACCAAGTATCATTGAAAGCCCATGACTTTATTGATTTTTCCAGAATATCTCTTGATTTACTTATCCTACGGATTTTAACTGGGCTGAAATGAAAGAACACGCACATGTATATTGTAAAGAAATTACACACCCCAATTCGATCAGTCTTCACTTATCTTCGACTTCGGCAAAATCTTATTTTGATAAAAGCTCTAATGTCATAGCTAATTTTGTTGGTGACTTACTGAACATACAGATAGAAAGGTTGGACTAGATTGGAATAATGCTCGGGGAGTAATTTTCGCAACTCCTGTCCCATAGGCGCTTCGAAGGAAATATAGCAACTAGGAGGATTGCCGATAAATACCATTCTTTTCCTCTTGAACCATCGCTTGCCCACTGAAATCCATCTACACTCGCATCTTCGATTTGTTCTCACTTATTGTTGTGGCTTTTCTGATCGGCTTCATTTATAACTCATGTTGCTTATGTAGCATTCTGAGTTGCATCTTTCTTTTTCCGTGACCCTTGGCAGTAAGCAAGGTGATGGAGATACGCGTCTGCGATGCTGGAATTACTCAAACCTCTAGATTTAGAGGTGGTCCCCGCTTTAGTAGTTCACTACTTTTATGAATACAAAGTCCAAAAATGGTTTCACCCAACAAAGTCTTCCTATTCAATGCAAAACTTTGGGCTGCAGAAGGTCTGTAAAAGCGCTGAGAGACTGGGATAGCTTGAGACATGTTAAAACGCTTTGAACCGTCAGCGATCTGCAGCGAGGTTCCGCTGCCTACTGAGTTTTCAAGTTTTAAAATTGGTAAACATCCGGAAGGAAATAAGTTCCCGCCGTTTTTGGGCCTTGTTTGTTTTTTGGCGCCTTTCGGAAAGGAAAGAGTGCATGATGGACTTTTCTGGAAGTGCATTTTAACATTTCTTACAAAAATTCCACGCCTGTCAGGCAGTTCATAGGAATTAAATCTTAATCAACTTCCTGGAATCTGAACTACAGTGTTCAGACTGCGCGTAAGTAGATTTTCACTTCCCTGGCTTCATTCCGCATTTCTATACAGTAAAAACAAACACTGGTTGTAATTGAGTCGTTCGAGGAAAGAACCCCGCAGTAAGTCTGATTGGTTAGTGATAAAAGATGTCCGCCATCGGCATAAAAATATAAGTCGAAAGACTCTCTGCCATGTATGATTGAGCGCTAACCCCGTATCAACGCGTTCCGCTTCCTTCCGAATGCGTGCGCTCACGAAAGGACTTGCGGTCCATTCAAGAGTTTCAACTGCGCCAGCCCTTCAAGGTCCATAATAATTTTTAATCTTGAACAGTCATTTTTCTCCGCATATATGGGAAACGTAACACCCATACAAAAGTGGCGTATGGAAAGGGAGGACGTCGTTCGAAGCTACTGTCAGATTTTCTATCAAATTGTTTGAGGATGAGTTGTAAACCCCCTGAGTCGGCTCCAAGAAAGTTACAAGTCTTTGGTGAAACAGAAAATAAACACAATACCATAATTGAGGGACCACCATACTTTTTCAGTCTTATTATAGCCTACCAATTGAAGTCAGCCTGACTGACTTCTTTCTCCTCTAGTACCGCCTAACACCCCAGCACAGTGAACTGGAATGTGGTAGAATTGAAAACCATGACCTTATTGGTTTTTCCAAAATATATCTTCATTTCCGTAATCCTATTGGCTTTTACTTGTGGGGGGGGGGGGGGGCTCGAATGGAAGTACAACATATACATGCGCAATAATTGATGAAGAAATTAACATGATCTCCAGCGATCTAGTCGCGGCTTTTACTCGACATTGGCAAATCTTTCTATCAGAAGCTCCAATGTCCAGTATAATACATCTTGTACATTTTATTTTATTATCAATTATTATTACTTCTATGAATAATACACTTTGGACTTACTGAACATCACAGTGTGAGCAAGGTGGACTTAGAGTGGAATAATAGCCCTGGCGAGTGATTTTCTTTCAACTCCTTCCCATGGCGACGCGATGGAAGAAAAACAAACAACTTAGGAGGATCGACGAGTAAATCCCATTCTTTCCACACTGATTCATCGCTTGCCACTATAAATTCCATCCTACACTCGCATCTTGAATGGGTTCTCGACCTATATTGTTGTCGGCTTTCTGATCGCCTACATTTATAATACTTATTATGCTTGTAGCTTTCTGGGTTGCTCCTTCTTTTTCCGTGCCCCTTAGCAGTAAGGAAGGCGATGGAGATATCGCCTCTGCGGTGCTGCAGTTATTCAAACCTCTAGATTTGGAGGTGGTCCCCGCTTCAGTAGTTCACTATTTTTCATGAATACAAAGTCCAAAAACGTTTTCACCCATACCAGCGCTCTTCAAAGACGACGCTGATGACTTTGACGTTCGATGAATGGCAATGCAGCAAACTCCAACGATCCTGCATAGAAATTTTGAAAGTGGGGTAATGGTGAGTGACGCTGCTGACCCCGTGCGTGATCCGAGGATCAATTCTGGGCCCTACTCATTTGCCCACTAAGCCTTCTATCTCTCACCATCACCAGCCCTTCAATTTGCATCGGTCTTGTAAGGGATAAGAACCCTGACTGTACCTCCATCATATGCCCGCTACATAACATTTTCTCTTTTAACACATTGACGACCGCGCGCGTTTTGGCTTTTTTGGCCGTGTGGGACCGGGCCGATTTTGCGAGTGCGACCGCCGCACCTCGGATCCGTGAATTTTTATTGATAACTTTTTAAAGCACCAGTGGTACAAAAACATCTCAGTAACAGTCAATGCGTAGAAGGTAATAGAGTATATAGTGACGAAGTTCCGATTAAAGAACATGTAATGGTAATGAAAAAGGAAATTTTAGTCATTTTATCTGTAGTGGATGCCAAAAGCTCTTTTGATGTGGTTATACCAAGTGAAACATGTATTTTTCTGTCTCTTTAGATTTGCATTTACTTTCACTACCCTTTTTTATTGACGTGTTCATGAGAATAGCATGAAAACTATTAATGAACCAAGCCGCCGGTTTCGGTGAGCTTGGAAAACTTCTTCTAAACTGGAGCATATTTGAACAAACAATGACCTATGTCGTTCACAATAATGTTATGTTCTAATCCATAGAAGAGAGACAAACAATTCGGGAAAAAGCTGCGCATGCCCTAGAAAAAGGGATGATAGGGTGAGACGCGGTAGCGCGTCTCAATGTCCAA